ATAGATAATACTACATTTTAAAACTAAGCACCACCAATAAGGCAAGAGAAAGAAATTAAGGTCAATAAAGATAAGTAAAGAAGACTTAAAACTATCCCTATTTGCTGAGGATATGATGGTTTATTTGAAAAATCCCAGGGAATCAGCAAAGATACTAATTAAGACAATTCAGGAAAGTTGCAGGCTACAAAACAAAATCCTCTAAGATCAACAGCAGTTCTTTTTTTTGTTTTTCTTTTCTTTCTTTTTTTAAAATTTATTTTTATTAATTTATTTTGATTTATCAACAATCACTTCCATATGCTTTTGAGTTTAAAATTTTTCTCCCCCTTCGTCCCCACCACCGAGATGGCGCACTATCTGATACAGGCTATACATTTACATTCCTATTAAACATATTTTCACATTAGTGAAACTGTAAGTAAAAATTAAAACCAATAGGAGGAACCATCAGAAAGAGGAAACAAAACTCAACAGAAGGGGAAAAAAAAAGACAGCAACATTCACTGTTATGATTACTATCTGTGTCTTTTTCTCCATCCTTTTTCCCCCCGTTTATGCTTTTCTTTCTCCTTTCTCCTTCCCCCCCTCACTAGTGTTTTGCTTTTGACCACCGCCTCCTTCAGTCTCTCCTCTCTTCTTTTATCCCTTTCCCTTTTCTTCCCCTTTACCCTTACTGCTTCTTCCTTCTTTCCCTCTGCTGTAACAGGGTTTTGTGTCTTTTCCTGTAATGTAATTTACCTTTGTCTGCCTCCTCCTTTCTCAGTACATTTTCTTTTCTTTTTTTTTTTTTGTTTGCTTGTTTTTAATATTTGGCTAGGCAATGAGGTTAAGTGACTTGCCCAGAGTCACACAGCTCTTAAGTGTTATGTGTCTGAGGCCAGACTTGAACTCAGGTCCTCCTGAATCCAGGGCCGGTGCTCTATCCACTGCGCCACCTAGCTGCCCCCCCCCCGTACATTTTCTAAAATCAGACTAATCCACTTACTTGGATCCATTTTAACCCACTTGATTAGATTTTTTTTTATCACTACATCAAAGTCAACTAATATCCACCCCCTTTATGGATACTCCTTTAACATGGTGTAATAATAATAATACAGTTCTCAAGAGATGCAAGTGTCTTCTTCCCTTGTAGGGATGTAAACAGTCCGCCCTTATTAACAACATATTGTATCTTTCTGTCCCATTTACCTTTTTATGTCTTTCTTGAATCTTGTACTTGAAGATCAAATTTTTGTTGAGCTCTGGTCTTTTTATCAGGAAGGTTTGGAAATCCCCTATTTCGTTGAATATCTATTTCCTCCCTTGAAAAATCATGCTCATTTTTGCAGGGTAGTTGATCCTTGGCTGCAATCCAAGCTCCTTTGCCTTATGGAATATCATGTTCCACACCCTTTGGTCTTTTAACGTAGAAGCTGCAAGGTCCTGTGTAATCCTGACCGTGACTCCATGATATTTAAATTGTTTCTTTCTGGCTGCTTGCAGCACCTTCTCTTTCATCTGGTAATTTTGGAATTTTGTTCTTATACTCCTTGGCATTGTCAATTTGGTATCTTTTTTCAGGTGGTAAGCGGTAGATTCTTTTTATGGTTATTTTACCTTCTGGTTCTAGAATTTCAGGGCAGTTTTCCTTTATGATTTCCTGAAAGATACTGCCCAGGCTCTTTTTTTATCATGATTTTCAGGTAGTCCACTAATTTTTAAATTGTCTCTCTTGGATCGATTTTCCAGGTCGATTGTTTTACCAGTGAGGTATTTTACATTTTCATCTATCTATTTATTTTTTTCATTTTTTTCTTTCTGTTTGATTGATTCTTGCTCTCTCATAGAATCATTAGTTTCCATTTGTCCAATTCTAGTTTTTAACAGATTGTTTTCTTCTGTTAGTTTTTGTACTTCCTTCTCCAATTGGCTAATTGTATTTTTAAGGGATTTGTTTTCTTCAGTGTACTTTTTTTCCAGTTTGCCAACTGTGTTTTTTAAGGACTCTTCTACCTCTCTCATTAGACTTTTAAAATCTTTCTTGAGCTCTTCTGAGAAAGCTTTTTGGGCTTCAGACCAGTTCGTATTCCCTTTTGGTGTTGCAGATGTGGGTTTGTTGACAATGATGTCCTCTTCAGAATTTCTGTCTTGATCTTCACTCTTCTCATAATATGAATCTATAGTACATTTCTTTTTACTCATGGTTTCTTTATTCCCTGGCCTTTGAGGAGATTGAGCTCTCCTGCTGGGGAACAGAGGGCACTGACTCAAGCTTCTTGTGCTGGGAGCCTAGGTCTTGGTCACTGGCTTTGTGTGCTGGGGCCTCTTATGTTGGCAATTGGAGGCTGTAGGGTTCTGGCAGCTTACCTTGTGCTGGGCTGGAATCAGCAAAGCTGGAACTTTCAGGAAATTCTAGGTTGCCTGCTTTTCCTTTCCTTTAGCTTTCTTCAGCTCCTTTTAGATGGGTGCTGCAAGGTGTTTATCTTGCCTGGGGCCCCTTGCAATGCTGCCTCCCTCCTTTCTGCTAATGCATTGGGAGATTCCTTTGCGGTAGAGAGCCAAGGCACCTGGTGGTTTTCTGAGTTGGTTTCCACCAGTTCCCCTGCCCTCACTGAGGCACTTGGGGGTCCAGGTGTTGGTGTTTGCCTGCTCTACCACCTGGGCTTCAGGATCTCCTCCTGCTTGACAGCTGGAGGCTGTAGGGTTCTGACAGCTTACCTGGTGTTGGGTTGGAATCAGCAAGGCTGGGACTTTAGGAAGACTCTAGGGTTGCTTTCTTCAGCTCCTTTCAGATCAATGCTGCAGGGTACTTATCTGCCTGGGGCCCTTTGTAGTGCTGCTTCCCTTATTTTTGCTGAGGCACTGGGAGACCCGTTTGCTGGGCTGCTGCACCGCTGTTCCCTGCCTTTCTTCTAGTTCAGCTGTTCCAGGGTTTTTTTTTCTGGGGTGATATTTTCTGGGTTTTCAGAGGTTGCTAGGGGAGGGTAAGAGTGACTACCTTTTTAGTCTGCCATCTTGGCTCCCAGAAGCAGAAGAACAGCATTTCCATATAATAACAACAAACCCCAAAAAGCAATAATAGGAAAATCCCATTCCAAATAATTACAAAATGCATAAAATATCTGAGGGTCAACATACTGAAGGACACAAAAGACTTATATGGATTCAGTTACATAATGCTCCTTATTGAAATAAAGAACCTAAACAGCTAGAGGAATATTCAATGTTCACGGCTAGACTGTGCCAATGTAATAAAAATGACAATACCACCAAAATTATTTTATACTTTTAATGCTATACCAATCAAAGACAATTCTTTCTAGAACTTGATAACCAATAATAAAATTAATTTGAAAAAATAAAAGATCTAGAAAATCAAGGAAAATGATAAAATGAAGTAGGGAAGGAGAGACAGCACTTCTAGACCTCAAACTATATTAAAAAGCAGCAGTATTCAACAACCAACTGGTACTGGGCTAAAGAATAAAGACAGAGAGATCAATAGAACAGACTAGACAAGTGGAAATTCAGAAACAACAGAACTCAATAACCCAGTGTTTGACAAAGTGAAAAACTAAGTTACCTAAGGAAAAACTTCTTATTTCATAAAAACTGCTGGAAAAACTGGAAAGCATTCGGGCAGAAATCAGGCTTAGAACAACTATATTCCTCAATATATTCTAAAGCTATGCCACACTAATATAGAAGATCATACTATAAAAAAATTAGAAGAGAAACAGACCATATACCTCTCACAGGAGGAAGACATTGATAAGAAGGAAGTCCTCATATACTCCAAAATACTTAAAGCAGCACATTTTGTGATAGCTAAGAATTGAAAACAAATTAGGTGTCCATCAACTGGGGAATGGCTAAACAAACTGTGGTACATAAATGTAATGGAATATTACTGTGTTATAAGAAATGATATGATGAATGCAAAGAAGCATGGAAAGATCCATACAAATTGATGCAGAGTAAAGTAAGCAGAGTGAAGAAATGGGAAGAACTACACACTAAAAAATCAAAAGTAAATTTAATAAAATTATAAATGTCAAACACGATTTGAATAAGGAGATATGAAAGGACATGCCCCAACTTCACCTTTAATGGAGGCGGGAGACCTACAGGTGTCATACATTGTATATACTTTTGGACTTTTTCAATATAATGAATAGTTGTGTGGATTTGTTTTTCCTCTCTAAAAATACCATTTGTTACATAGAATGGCTCTCTGGAAGGGGAAGGAGGATAGATAATTGAGATACTATGGTGATGTAAAAAAAAACTACAGTGAAGATATTAATAAAAACATATTTAAAAGAAACAAAAAGCAACAAACAGACATGAAGAATTTTTTTAAAACGGGAAGTCTTGTTAGAACTGATGTGGAATCACCTGATGGCAGATCCAAAGAACAATGGTTATAATAACGCAAATAAAAACAACACTAAAGGGAAGCTAAATACAGATTAAATGCAATAGCTAGATTTGGTCCTGGAGAAAATGTAACAAAACATAGAGGTGTAGCAGTAGAGTATAGGTGCATATGTTTGCATAGTCTGGCATATGTTGTCAGGTGTTGGTTGGTTTTGATGAATTGTTTACTGCAAAGTGGAGTATTCACTTACATACGTGTATATATCAGGAAACAACTGTGGTGTGAAGAACAAAGAAGGCATCAATAAAACTTAAGAAAAGAAGAAAAATTTAAAAATAACAAGTTTGCTAATTTCTGATTTAGAGGACTCATACAAAAATAATCCAAGTCTCAGAGCCACATATGCCCTATTCTACAATCATTCCCTAACATTCCTTCTTTCTAATTGATGTCCAAACTTAGACAGTAGCCCAGACAGCCTCTAGACCATCTTTAACTCTTAAAAGTGGCATTCAACCCTGAGGTAGTATAATACGAACCCAAATAAGCATTCAACCTTTTTTGCCCCATTAAGTACAAAGTGTACTTAGACCACTGGTATGTGTGATCACATCTGTGACACAATTTAATTTACCAACTCTGAAGCTCAGCAAAGGCTTGCTTCATTTTCTTAATGGAAGAATACATTTCTTCTTTAACCACAACCCGATACCGTGCAAGAGATACTGTACAACGCTGTAGGTCTTTGACGGATTTTTCAATATTGGAACCTAGGAAAATAAGCAGCAAGAAATGACAGTAAGAGGTCCGTAAGTCTCTTGAAAGTGAAATCTGGAAACCTAAACATGACAAGTCACAGGGAACTAAGAATCTTTCCCAAATGGTCACCACTTCCCCTCAAAAAGGAAAAACTGCTGGTGTTTTAAACTGTATTAAGAAAAGAAACTAGAGATTCTTTAAATGTCCATAATTTTCCCAATCACCCCAAAATGACTAAATTTAGATTGGACAATTTACCAAATGAATGCTATACTATTAATACTGAAGAGCTGGCTGTATATAAATTTGCCAGGTATGTATGAAAATGAAATAAACATGCCCGAGACATTTTAAAAATAATCTGGTGTATTTAATGATGAGATTAATGTGCCTACAGAAATACAGTACAGTGTCATGCTACAGATTTTCTATTTCTATTTAAATTTTTCCTTGTCATAATCTCACTTTTCTTTTAGTGCCTATCTAGATTTCTTGGGTCTACGGAATCTACGTTAATTTGCCTGACTGGTTTTATGTATAAGAAAAAAATATATCAGGTACATTATGAATCTCTCTTATTGCTGCATTTGCAGCAGATGAAAAGAAACTCCATCAAAACAAAAAAAAAAACCCAAAACCAAATCCCTGTCTAATATAAATGCATATAAAGATGAGAAAGATTTTGAACTCCACTGAGCTAGGCCAGGTTAAAGGCTAGATAAGAAAAAGGAAAACATTTTTAATTAAAGGAAGGTCTTATAATCTGCATATTGCTAGTGTCTTTTTATACCCTGACTCTTAAATGAAGTAGACTAGAAGTGTCAAACACAGGTCACCTTGCAATATTCCTGAATGCAGCCTAAAATGTAATGGGGAATATTTAACAAAATAAATAAAAATACAATAGAACATACATAACGTTAATATGTAGTTTTCTAAGTCAATATGAGGCCAGCTGGAACATTATATACAGAGTTTGGTGGTCCTTGTTTCTTTTTGAGCTTAATAGACAATTGTGCACCAAAATGTGTGATCACAGTTTACTAATCAAATGTCTCTGTTATGACCTTAGATACTCCCTCCAACTATAGAGACTAAAAAGCATTCATGTCTACCTTTCCTGTGCAACTCTTGTCAATGTCCTCCCATTAAGTTGGCCACTTTCTAAATTTAGGGCTACCTAAAGAATTGGGGGCCTTCCTCACTTTCTCTTCACATTGTTAGGATACCAGTGGAACAGTCAGGCCGTTCATCTGTTATTTCTCACCCTCACTATGACATTCTTTACTCTTGTTCTTAAAAGTTTCTTATTTGTTATGTGCTACAGCCCATTTACATTTAACACACACTTTTCTAATGCCCTCTTCTGAGATATTCATTTTCAGCTCTTCAGTGATTTGTTTTCTATACAGCCATGTAATTATACTACCATATTAAATTAAATTATTGGCTGCTTGCTATAATGCTCCTTATAGTAAAAAATGTAACAGCCATTGCTGCTAAATGTTTGCTTCTCAGAAAACATTATCTAAAGCTGGAATCTTAGAGTTAGAGGTCTTAGGTCTCTTAAAAGTAGGTAAAATGGGATTTTGAAGAGACTGTAAAGGTTCTTTAAAAGCCGGATATCACATTATGTTATGGCTTTTTACTTTTTGGTCCACCAAAAGATGTAATGTAAATGTAAATGAAATGGCATACCAGCTGAGAAGTCTTTATAGTTAGGCAAATAAAAGGAACTGCTGAATGTTAACATATAAGACATTCTGGCAGTGGAGCTGACTGCTTTTCAGAAAAGGGATCACTGTCATTTCAACAAGACTACTGTGTGGGGTACCACATCTGAATTGCTGTCATATTCCAACTGTGCACAGGCAGGCAGTGAAAAGAGCCCTAGTAGTTACTAACACAAAAGAGAGCCAAGTTTGTACTACTAACTATTCCTTCTAGATTACTGAAATCCTATCAATAGAACCACAAAGGTAATTTTCAGTCTCTTGCTCAATGCATTGTTTTTATCTCCTTCTCAAGGAGAGACTCTGCTTTACCTAGTTTTTTGTTAGTAGAGGAGAGCGGAAGGTCTTCTATTGTGGAGAAAGAGCCCAGGTTTGAAAACTGAGTGCCTGGGGTGGGTCTAGAGAGAGATTTGGTAGAATTCCTGGTTTCATGTTTCAGAGACTGTTGAGAAGAAGTCTGAGTGGCATTCACGCTCAGAGACTTGGACTCAAAATCAGAAACACCATTCTCCAGCACTAACACTGCCAAAGAAAAAGGAGAAAGTTACAACATGAAGTTTGGGGAAAATTAAGCTAAACTGTTCTAAAAAAAAACAAAACAGGAAAGGTCAGGATGTTATGAGAAAAACAATGTCCCTCAAATGGCTGTAAATAAAATGATCTGATTAAAAAGAACAAATTTGGGCTCAGGTAGAAATAATTAATTGCTCCTATCCTCCTTTCTCCATTTACCCTGATGAGTGATCCCTTAAAGGAAAAAAGGCAGATGAATGTAGTGCCCTATTTCCAACTACTTTATCCTGTTGGCTTTGGGGTAAGGAAGTAAGTAAGAGTCAACATGTTACCAGCTCCTTCCAACTTCTATAAGGTATCTTGAAAGAAGGGGAAGTTTGCATTGAACCAGAAAAGTAGGAACCACAATTGCTAGTTGAAGGTGAGTCCAAATTTGTTTTTTTTTTTTTTTAAGGCAATGGGGTTAAGTGATTTGCCCAGGGTCACACCGATAGTGTTATGTGTCTGAGGCCGGATTTCCAAATTTGGTTTTTAAAAAGAAAAGCAAACCCAAGGAAAATAAGAACCTTTTATGATCATATGGTTTAGTAAGGGTAAACTGAAGCACAATTTTCTTCACTTTTTTTTTTCATGTGTTAATAAAGAAGCAACAAAGGAGAATCTTGGACGTGCTCACATAAAACTTAATGATATTTTTTATTATATTTGCAAATCACTGACAGGAGGGAAAGTGGGAGTGAGTTAACAAAGAATTGATAAAAAATTAAACTATTCAATGAAGAATTCAAAGAAGCTTAGAAGACAGAGTAAGCAGAATCAGGACAACAATATATACAATAACTACAACAACATAAACAGAAAGAACAAAGCCAGAAACTCAACAGTGTGTTAGCTTAGCCCTGAAGAAGAGTTTAGATAATTCACACTACTTTCTTCTTTAAAGAAGTGGGGGCCTAAACCAAACTTGGTTGACATGTTGGTTAGTTTTACTAAACTATTAAAAAAATTTTTTTTTGTTACAAGGGATGACTCTGTGGGTAGAGGAAGAGGGAGGGAATCTATTTGTAAATGAAGGTGACAGAAAATGTAATATAATCAATAAAATCAATAAAAAAATTTTAAAACTAAACCATTCAAAAAGGAAGAACACTAGCTCTGAATCCTACTTTTAAAAAATAGAGTTTATGAAAACTAAGAATGTGATTCAGATGAAAAAGATAAGTAGTAGTAACTCACATTCATAAAATACTCTCAGGTTGACAAAATGCCTACCTCAAAACAATCCACTGAGGTAGAGGTAATGGAAATGTAATCTATTTCACAGAAAACTGAGCTTAATGAGTTAAATGATTTGACTATATCTAGTCCCATATCTAGTATCAGAACTTAAATTCAAATTCAACCCTTCTGATTCCATGTTCTGACTCCTTCTACATGATTTTGTCTCAGGTTTACACTCATTTATATATTCTACACCGTGCATTAAACATAGAGGAAAAAGCACGCATGCCTGTATAAATATGTGTATGTGTATGTATGTATGTATGTATGTATGTATGTGTACACAAACCTTTTCCCTTATCCCCTTCCCAGCATTACCAGTTTAATCCGCTTCAAAACTATTTAATTTTAATTGTATTTTACGCAAATGTCTCTACTCCCACTACTCGGCAGTAGCATCTAAGTACTAAGTTAATATCATGTGCTATGAAACCAGATTTCTATAAGAAGAGAAGGGAAAGGAACATGCATTTATTAAGCACCTACTATGTACAAGGCACTGTGCAAAATACTTTGCAAATATTATCTCATTTAACTTAGACAAAAGTAAGTTGTGGAGATGAGTGAGAACTGACTTTCTTCTAAACCTACATTATTATAAGATGTCTCATAAAACCGTCTTAGTTAAAAGGTTGCAAAGCTAATCAACTGGATTCAATTTATTTAACCACTCCCTCAGCTACTAGCCTATGTCTTTCAATCAATTCCCATTTAAAAACAAAACAAATGAAAAAATTTCAAATAGCTCACCTGTTCTATCAGACATGTCTGGTGTGCCAGATTCAGACTCTTCCAATTCTCTGGCATCTATTGAAAGTATCTCCAAGCCTTCACTGAGAGAGTCCACAGACTCCGTATCATTAGCTGCACCATTTACATGGTAACCATTAATCCCACCTTTATCCAAAGAAGCTACAGACTGCTCCTCTTGAGTGGATGGCAGCTTATTTGTGTCTGGTAGATTGTTACTTGCTTCTGCTGCAGGTTTTGGTTTGCTTTTCTTCTTTTTGTTCTAAGAGTTGTTAAAGATGGAGTGTGGGAATGGGAAGAGGAAAAAATACCCCACAACCCAAAGAGAAAGTTTAGTTACTAAACCCTTTAGCAACTTACAAACTTAATCAGTAAGCATTTATTAAGTACTTAGACACTAAGCTAGGGGGGACTGTGGACATAAACAAAAAAATTTAAAAGGCTGTGCCCTTAAGGAGCTTACATTCTAATGGGGAAATAACACATATGTATGTAAGTAGAAACAGTATATGTACAAAATACCTAGAAAGTACATTGTGAGAGTAGAGGCACAAACAGCTGGGGAGGGATCAGGAAAGGCTTCATGTAGGTGACTCTTGGGTATAATTTTGAAGTTAAAAAAAAAAAAGGATTCTAAGAGGTGGTTGTGAAGAGGGAGGTCATTCCAGGAATGTAGAAGAGTCAGTGTAAAGGTACGGGGATGAGAAATTGATAGTAATTTGTGAGGAACAAAGAGAATGTCAGTTTGACTGAATTGTAGAATGCAGAAAGAGAAATAAAGAGTTTGTATTTACAATAAGGCTGGAAAGGTAGACTAGGGTCAGGTGGTGAAGGGCCTTAAAAAACCAAACAGATAAGTTTATATTTGATCTTACAGGCAGTAGGGGAGTCAATGGAGTTCACTGAATAGCAGTATGCTACAGTCAAATATGCACATTAGGAAAAGCACTTCGGCAGTTGTAGGTAGAGTGGATTGGAGACAGTGGAGACTTGAGTCAGGTAGCTATTACAAGAGTCCAGGACAGTTTGGTATAAGGGTGGGTTTTGGGAAAAGATAATGAATTCTGTTTTGGATATGTTAAGTTTGAGACAGTAATCAATTAATGATGCTGGTCTGGAGATAGATTAAGGCTATAGGTGTGGCAGTCACTGGCATAAAGATAATAATTAAATCTCTGGAAGCTGATAAGGTCACAAACTGAGTAAGAGAATACAGAGAATAGAAAAGGACACAAGATGCCTTTGGAAAACTGAAAGTAATTTGTTTTTCTACTTTATGGTGCTTAGAACGTAAGCTCATTGTAAGTAGGGGATACTTCATTTTTTCTACTGCTATCCCCAGCACTTAGTATAGTACCTAACTTGTAGTAGGTACTTAATAAATACTTGTTGACTGATTCGTTCAATAAGTTCAAGATGTATTTATTTCCCCCATACATACATACATACATACATACATACATATATGTGTGTGTACATATATATATATATATATATATATTATATATATATATATATATATATATACACACACACACACACACACACACACACACACTCACACACACACAGACTCGATGATATTAACGGGTAACCAGACTATCCTGCTCATCCACATGCAAAAACAGATCCAAAAATTCAGAATATGGAAGGACACAAAGATGTCAGTTATCTAGGCAGTGAAAGTAAACGTTTAACTAAGAGTATAATGAACCAATTACAAAAAATTACTGACATCAATATTTTAGAACTGATATTAACATATCAGGAGCTTATGACCCTTTCATCTATTCTGACCAGTTTCCAAAAGGACCTTTGGTTTCAGGTTGTAAGCTGCCCCTTTGATGCATACACTGAAATGCTGAGCATCCTCTGATAAACACCCAACAGGTATAATTCTGAGAGCATTCTCTGGGCACCACCATACAACTATTTAGGTTTTGAGTTCTGGTTCTACAATTTCAGGGTCCACAACACAATGGGTGAGGAGTAGAAGCAGTTGTCTGACCTTAAAAAAAAAAAAGGAACCTTCTAACTGACCCAGGACACAAATGATTCTGAAAACCATTGGAGAGAGAATTTTCTCTCGAGCAGCTCTGTTTTCCCTGACATGCTCTGCAGTTTTACTTTCTGTCTAAAATCAATATTCCCTCTGCAAATCCAATACAGTAAAGCTATATGTTTCTTGTCCTAAAATTTTATGTAGCATTCACATGGATTTGCTACCTCATTTTAGACATAGTTGCATCTATCTCCCTGATGGAAGAAAGTGGCCATTATTTAAAATAGGTGAATAGAAAATGTTCATAGAATACATCTTAATAAGTTCTGGTATTCTGTTTTTTGATGATACAGAGTTTATAAAAGCACAATACTAAATTTCATTCAAGTTACCTTTTTCTTGCCTGTTATTGTCCATTCTTTTAGTACTTCACTGGCATTGCCTGCAAGAGGAAAGCAACATTTTTTCCCCATAATTAATCAGGAACTAATGTCGCCATGTCTTGTAGTAGTTGGACAATTTCTAAGAGCTTATAATGGGAAAGGTTAAATTTCAATATGATGTTTGCCTTTGGGAAGCCTGCCTACTGTGACAGAATCACAGAATTTGAGAGCTTGAAGGAATCTCAGCAACCATTTACTCCAAACCATACACAAAAGGAATCTCTGGCATAACATACTTGACAAGGGGTCATCCAGCTTCTGATTGAAGATCTCCAAGAAGAACCCACTGCCTCTCATGGCAGCCCATTCCACTTTGGGGCAGGTCTAAAATTATGAAGTTTTTCCTGACATCAAGCTTAAATCAGACTTTTTCCAGTTCCCATCTACCTACTTCTTCTGGTTCTGCCCTCTGGAGCCAAATAAAATAAATCTAGTCCCTCTGCCACATGATAGCCCTTCAAATACTTAGCTATCATGCCCACCTTAAGTCTCCCCTTTCCTGGTTAAACATGCAGAATGCCTTTAAATGATTCAGACAACTTTTCCTTAAAATTATTTCCAGAAAACTCTTCTAAGAAAAAAAAAGCCTTATATTATTTATATATTTGTTTAAAAATTCAATAAATTAATAATTCAATAAATTTAATATATAATAATAACATAAATATACATATATTTAATCTAGTCTCACAAACAAGGCCACTGAGGAGATATATTCACTCTGTATCTTAGGAAAAAAGCAAAGGCTATTTGTTTATCCATAATCCATGCTATTTCCTATGCTTCCAGATACTTTCCATCACATCAGCTTGAAAAGTTTTGCACCCCAAACTCAGCACATGAATTAAATGCTGATTTTAGCTACTTTTCTAACCCATTCTTACAATTTTAGAAAAAGCATAACATAGTTATGTGATATGATAGAAGTCTTGTTCATTGGTTTCTGCTAGTGTTTCTCTTGAGGGTTTGGAAAAGAATTGAATTCTAATCTTTTTCAAATGAAGAAACTGAGGACCAAAGAAGAAAGATCACAGCAAATGATATCAATGCAAATGATTGAGTAAAGAATCACTTTTCCATGGTTGCATACTTGGGAAAACACCTAACTTAATCTCAATACATATGTCACTGTGGCATTATGGTTTTTTCTTGAATGGCAGTAAAACATATTTTGAGAGAAAGGAATAAATCTTCTTGGAATATCTTATGGAACTTAGGGAAGTAAAATGATATTATAATTTATATGAAAAAAGATACTATAGTCTTATAGTGAGTTCTGCTAAATGAGCTACGACATACAAAATATCTGAATGAACAAAAAAAAAAAGTCTACTTTCACTCTTTAGACTAGTCTTACCCTGCCCCCAGGAAAACCCCTCAAGGAAATTCCTTACCTGGAGGAACTGTATCAGCTTTGTTACCCACTCTTTATCAGCACCTCAGTACCCTTTCCCCTCTGATTGGAGGCAGAGCAAAGAACTCCTCCCAAAGCTTCCATTAAAGATGGTTCCCAGGGCAGTCATCTTTCTCTTTCCCACCAGCTTATACTCCTTGAATTGGGGCACCAAGTACCTACTTCTCCAGCCCCAGCCCCACCCCTCCTACCTTTTGTGTGTGGTTTTCTCCCCTTTAGAGAATGCAAGCTCCTTGAGGGTAGGAATTATCTTTCTTTTTTCATATTTGTTTCTCCTGCACTTGGCACAGTGTTGGGCATATAGAAGGAGCTTAATAAATATTTATTGACTGAAGCCCTGCATTATATAATACACTTAAAAACTGTGAAGTAGGCTTACCTTCCATGAATGCTTGCACCGTTTTGTCCACACAGTTATCAAAATGCTGCAAGACGAGGATGATTTCATTGTTACTCCGATTGGGGACTATCGCACGTACTGCATTGATCTGTGAAAAGATTGAGGTGGTGAAGGATAGCTTAGGTGGCATGGTAGACAGAACACTGGAGGTGGAGTCAGGAGGACCTGAGTTCAAATCCAGCCTCAGATACTTACTAGCTGTGTGACCATGGGCAAGTCACTTAACCCCAGCTGCCTCAAAAAAAAAAAAAAAGATGGAGGTGATGGTCATTTTTATCATTAACCTTTTAAAATGAATTGCCAAGAGCAACAGCATATTACTTAGGGCACTGGAAAAAAGTGACATACATTCTTAACAATATTTGTCATTTTTTTAGCATTAGTCAAAGCACATATTACTATCTTAGCAAAATTTTGTGCATGTGTATACACACAGAAGCATATGGAAATTTAACTTTAAGAAAAAGAAAAAAGTAAAACTGCAAGAAATAAAAAATACATATCCTCTACCAAATAAAAGGTACTCAAAGTTTATAATCAAGTAATGCTCAGAGTCAATAATCTAATTTTTAGAACAAAGGTGAAGTTGAGAAAGGTTTGTAATGAGCACTGGGAACGTGGAGGAGTGAGAAGAAAAGCATGTTTGCCCAGCTTACCTAGCACACCTTCCTTCTTCATAACAATCTAGGAAACATATCAGACTTGGAAAGCCAAGTAAAAATCACCATAGGTCATTTCTCTAACTCAGGGAAGTTTAGGAAGACAGAGAGACCTGCAGAAACTTGGGTAGGGGGTGGCAAGGAGTGCTGCATGGCAGCAGTAGACAGAAGTGTTCCAGAGCCCAGCAACAGAAAGAGGGTAGAGAAAGAGTAGCAGGGTAGGAAGCATATCCCAAGGGACCCCTGAACTAGCTTTGGGTACAAGAATGGGTGCCATCTCTCAGCTCTGCCACCCACTGCCCAGGTTTGGGGTGCAGATTCAGGGCAGAGTGTCTTGGTTTTGAGGGAGCATGGGACTGACCTGGCTGTGTATGAGGCACAGAACAAGTTCCAGAAAAGTTAGTTGTGCATCTCTAAGCCTAAGAGCAGAGTAGCAGGGACTTAATTCTGTTCTTTCAGAACAAAGGAGAGATGACATTTCAGAGGCTCCAAACCTGCAGAACCTCTCAGCAGGTTATCTAGCAGTAGAAACTCAAATAGAAACTCAACCACTCATAAGGCAACAGACCCAAACCTGTGTCAGGAACTTGCAGAGCTCAAACCTGGAGGGCGGTAAACAGACCTCCCTAGATCACACCAATTTGAGACCACTGAAAATTTACAGGCTCCTGGCTGAGCTGTGAAAGCAGCAGGATGATGTAAAAGGACAGAACCTTGGGTTAGGCATCCCTCTTCCCACCTTGAAGTACATAGAACCAGCACTAATATAACGTCCAAAGTCAAGAAATAGATTGTAAGAATGGGCAAACAAAAAAAGAACCAGATCACAAAGAGCCATTATGGTGAGAGGAAAGTTCAAGACACAAACACAGAAGAAACACATGACCTGAAAACATCTACAAAGCCTCAATGAAAAAAATACAAATTGTATAAAGCCCAACAAAAATTCCTTAGAAGAGTTCAAGAAACCATTTAAAAAAGTATTTTTAAAATAAAATAAAATTAGTATTTTTAAAATGAAGTGGAAGTAAAATATGAAAAGAATTAACAGCTTAGTAAAAGATGCACAAAATAGTATGGAAGAAAGTAACTCCTTGAAAATTAGAACTGACCAATAGAAGCTAATGATTCCATGAGACATTAAGAAATAATCAAAGGCAAAAGAAAGAAGAAGGAGAAAGAGAAGGGAAAGGGGAAGAAGAAGAAGGGAAAGGAGGAGGAGAAGAAGAAAAAAAGATGATGGAAAAAAAAGAGGAAAAAGAAATATCTCACAGAAAAAACAAATGACCTGGAAAATAGCCCAAAGAGAGATAATTTAAGAATCACTGGACTACCTGAAAGCCATGAACAAAAAAGGAACCTAGATATCGTATTTGAAGAAATCATAACATAAAACTATCCAGATATATTGGAACCATAGGACAAAGCTGAAAGTGAAAGAATCTAATGGTCAACTCCCGAAACTCCAAAAAGGAAAATTCATAGAAATATTATAGCTAAAATCCAGAGCTCCCAGGTCAAGGAAAAAAATGCTCAAAGCTGCCAGAAAGAATTCAAATACCATGGAGCCGCAGTCAGGATCACATAAGATTTAGCAGCCACCATATAAAGAAATGGAGAGTTTAGAATAGATATTCCAGAAGGCAAAGGATCGAGGATTACAACCAAGAATAACCAGCAAAACTGAGTATAATGCTACAGTGAAAAATGGACCTTTAATGAAAAGATCAGAGCTGGGTAGAAAATATGATATGCAAACACAGGGTTCAAAAGAAGCACAGAAATGCAAAAATAAGTGAGAAATCACAAAGGAATAAACAAGGTTTAAACTGTTTATATTCCTTATAGGGATATGAGACATGTAACCTCATAGAATTTTATCAAAAATGGGGTTCTTATAGGAATAATAATTAGACAGAAGGCCTGGGTATGATTCTAATAAGTTTGAAAAATCACAGAAGAAGAAGAAAGATGGGAAAAATTATCTCACATAATGGAGAGTGCAGGAAAATGTTTAAATGATGAAGAGGGAAAGAAGAGGGAATGGGTGACACTTGAATCTTACTCTCATCAGAACTGGTTAAAAGAGGAAAAAATACACATATACACAGTTGGGTACAGAAATACATTTTACTCATCAGGGAAATAGGAGGGAAAAGGGAAAGGGGAGAAGGAGAATTAGAAGGAGGGGAAATTAAGGAAGAAATCAGCCCCAAGCAAGAAAAACTCTTTTCGTTGTTGTTCAGTCATTTCAATTGCGTCTGACTCTTCATGACCCCATTTGGGTTTTTTTGTTTGTTTGTCTGTTTTGGTTTTTTGGTGAAGATACTGAAGTGGTTTGCCATTTCCTTCTCCAGCTCATTTTACAGATGAGGAAGTAAGCAAATAGAGTTAAGTGACTTGCCCAGGGTCATATAGCAAGTAAGGATCTGAGGCTGGATTTCAACTCATTTTCCTGACTCCAGGCCTGGTGTTCTATTCACTGCACTACCTACCTGCCCTAGACATACTCTAAGGACACACAAAAACAATTATAGCTCTTTTTGTTGGGGCAAAGTATTAAGTTTTGCTCATTTCACTATACATCAATCCATAAAAGGCTTCCCAGGTTTCCCTGAACTATTCTTATCATTACTTCTTTATCTTTGTTTTGATTTGTTTTTTGAAATAAGTTTGTATTGATGTAGTTATCCCCAGTATCCTTCACCCTCCAACTTTTCCATATAACAATACACTACAATGCAGGCTAAGAAGCAACAGTTAGGGGCAGCTAGGTGGCACAGTAGATAAAGCTCCGGCCTTGGAGTTAGGAGGACTTGAGTTCAAAACCAGTCTCAGACACATGACACTTACTAGCTGAGTGACTCTGGGCAAGTCACTTAACCCTAACTGCCTCACAAAAAAAAAGAAGAAGAAAGAAACAACAGTTAGAATCGAACATAGAACTGACTGGTTTAAAACTGGAAAAGGAGTACAACAAGGCTGTATATTGTACCTTATTTATTTAACTTATATACAGAGTACATCATGCGAAATGCCAGGCTGGATTAATCAAAAGTTGGAATTAAGGTTGCTGAGAGAAATATCAACAATCTCAGAAATGGAGATGATACCACTCTGGTAGCAGAAAAAGAAAAGGAATTAAGAAGTCTCTTGATGAGAGTGAAAGAGTGTAAAAGCTGACTTGAAACTTGACATTAAAAAAATTGGGATCTTGGTAACTGGTCCCATCACTTCCTGGAAAGTAGAGGGAGAAGAAATGGAAGCAGTGTCAGATTTTATGTTCTCAGGATCAAAGATCACTGTAGACAGCAACTGCACCTATGAAATTAAGACCTTGGAAGGAAAGCTATGGCAAATCTGGACAGAATACTAAAAAGCAGAGACAACACCTTGACTACAAAGGTCTATATAGTCAAAACTGGTTTTTCCGGTAGCAATGTATGGCTGTGAGAGCTGAACTAAAGGGAAAGCTGATACTTTCAAATTGTGGTGCTGGAGAAGACTTTTGATAGTCTCTTGGACAGCAAGGAGCTCAAATTAGTTAACACTTAAAGAACTATTAATTCAGCATCGCACCTATCAGATTCGCTCACATGACAAAACAAGAACATTATAAATGCTGGAGAAGATGTGGGAAAATTGGAACACTACTGCATTGCTGGTGGAGTTGTGAACTGATCCAACCATTCTGGAGAACAATTTGGAACTGTGCCCAAAGGGCTATAAAATTGTGCATAACCTTTGACCCAGCAACAGCACTTCTCGGGCTGTATCCCAAAGAAATGATAAAAATGAGAAAAAGACCCACATGTACAAAAATATTCATAACAGCTCTTTTAGTGGTGGCCAAGAATTAGAAATTTGAGGGGATACCCATCAATTTCGGAATGGCTAAACAAGTTGTGGTATATGAATGTAATGGAAGACTATTGTGTTATAAGAAAGAGTGAGCAGCCAGACTTCAAAAAAACCTAGAAAGACTTATATGAACTGATGCTGAATGAAGTAAGCAGAACCAGGAGGTCACTGTATACAGTAACAGCCACATTGTGTGATGACTGACTTTGATAGACTTAGCTCTTCTCAGCAATGCGAGCATCATCTCCAAAAGACTCATGATGGAAAATGCTATCCACATCCAAAGAAAGAACTATGAAGTCTAAATGCAGACTGAAGCATACTATTTGCTCTCTTTGTTGTTATTGTTTTGTTTCTTCTTTCTTGTCTTTCCTCCCATTCGCTGTAATTGTTCCTTTCAACATGACTAATGTGAAAATTTTATGAAAGAATGTATATGTAGAGCCTATATCTGATTGCATGCCGTCTTGGGAAGGGGGGAAGGGGAGGAGGCAGAGAAAATTTAAAACTCAAAAGCTTATGGAAGGGAATGGTGAAAACTAAAAACAAATTAATTTAAAAATTAATT